CTAACAACAGATACTGTTTGATGCCTCCACACACAAACCACCCCGACACACACACACGAACCAAACAGAAACCGTAGATGCAGGCTGAAAAAGCTTCACGCTTTCCAGGGTTTCTTTTCGTGCACTGGCCTTCGCTCACGTCGGTTATCCGTGAGTTACGGAGGGTTCGCTGCCCGTGTCTACCAACAATAACACGGCCTCCCGTTACAAGCTCCAACCGGTTGCAAACACGGGCTTCTAGCAATGATTTTAACAGCCTCGGTAGGCTCACGGCTTCATATTTCTGTTATAGATAAACACCCGAGGGGTTTTACGTGTCTGGCGACCCGGTTGTCTGGGTAGATAAAGCTGACGCGGATGCTAACAAAGGCCCGAAAACTGTCTGGAGCGGAAGACCGACACAAGGGGAGGAAGGAGCCAGGCAGCAGAAAGGTGCACTGCCTCTCCAGCTTCACAAAACCCTCTTATTTCACCACTTCCTGGCCCACTAAAGCTGCAATATCTGCATCGGGGCGTCGATAACTAAAGTCTGGAGAAACAGAGGAGAGAGTCAAGCCGATACCTACCGGCGGAGAGGGTGGATGGTCGCGGATTTCGGCCCCAGTTTCTCTCTGACACCCCGGGCTTTCACTCCGACAACATGGCGGTTCGACGGAGGACCAGGCAGCAGCGCCGCATGACGGGAAGGGATGAGAGGGAGCGTACGGTTCATTGCGCCTGTATGGCAAGCCATAGCGATATCTAATCAAACCGAACTTACAAAATTGTTCTTTAGATATAAATGATACTTCGTGGGTTAAAGTGCATGACTAATATCCTCAACAAATGAATTAAACATGAAATTAAACATTAGCACCAGCGAATGAAAACATAACACATTAAACCATCATTCAAATTGATTAAAAAGGTGTATTTTGAACAGCACAAAAATGCTGGAAGGACAGAAGTTGTCCTTTTTATCACCTGCTCAAATGTTTTGGCACTTAAGTGCAAATAGTTTTACAAGCAAACAAAACAATCTCAAATTGTTCACGGACTCAGAAAAGCACATTCTGACACATGGCATCAAGTGACTTTGGTATATAATTTTTAAAAATATGAATCTATTAAATTGTCCGAGTTTTTATTGTGTTATAAATTTTGAGTCTTGCCTGAGCAAGAGGCTTCATTAAACTCTGGAAATCCTGTTATGACTTTTGGGTTTTACGTGCCACTCAATGGTTATTAGTGGCTTAAATTGCACATTCTCACATCTAGAATTTGGAGATACTAATCAACCTAACCTATATGTTCTATGTGGCAGTTATCCAGATCCACATATTATATCATGGTACCGAGAAGTAAAATGTTTTTAGTTTCTAAACTTAGCAATCAAATACAGCAGTCCTTTGTAGTTGGAATTGGCACTAGGAAAGTTGATGACCTCAATTTCTGCTTCAAAAGAGCTGGCACATATAAAGTTTTGTGAGAGTTTAATAAATAATAATAAAAACATATATATATAAGCTATTTACAATCCATAATATCACTGAAGATGAAGATATTTCTAAATATTGTTTTTCTTCCTATTATGGTATCTGATATCTGACATTTTTATTTAACCTGTTATAAATGTATTCTGGATAGTTACAATCAAATGTTTAGTTATTCAAAGTTGAAGTATAGACATTTCAGACAAAACTGCTGTAGAATAATTATATTATATTACTAATTTGTTTGGTAAAGCATAATGTCATTTTTTTCTAGCTGTGATATGGCTGAAAAAGCGTGAGGACAACAGAAAGCTGTTTCTTATGTCACTATTAGTAAGAATGATGAACCTCTGAAAGTCTCACAGTGGTTGGCAAACAAATTAGACGCATTACTGCCCCTTGTGGAAATATTATTAGCATCAAATTATGGCAAAGTGCCGGGAAAAACTATTACCTTTCGATTTGATGGCCGTATTAAATGATCAAGTGTGTTAATAGTTGTATTTTTGAATTTGGGAACATCTATTATCGTTACATTTTGAACATTTAAAATCATCTTAACGATGTCTGGATTGTTCTTCATTTTGCATATATATAAAACAAATAAGAATAATAATTAAAAAAATGTATACAGTTTATCCAGTTACAATGGCAGATGTATGGCAGATATGTAAAATGTTTTTTTCTTATTTCAATTCTGCTTCAGCTATCCATGCTTTCCAGACAGGCATATTGCGTTTATGTCATTTTTTTTTTTTTTTTTTGTTTTTTACTAATTTCAATTTGATGAAGGTGAAAAAGTGCTTTCTTATACTCAGTATGAATCCCATTCCGATTATAGAATACTCACACAAGCAATAATTTAAGTTTATCAAAAGGAAATATAATTTCAGAAGGAACTCTTTAATCTATCAGTATTATTCATTTCCTTATGTGTTTAAAACAAGAATCCACTAAGTCTTTGTGGTGGATTCCCCAACCTGATGCATTACTGCCCCCTTTTGGTAGAGTTTATAGCACCACGTCACTGGTGAAATTAGGATAAAATTGGGAAAAAATCAAGTATTGCCTCTGAAAACAATAATTAAAAGGCAAATTTGATTTATTTAAATTGTTGAACATTGATTTAAAAAATTCAAACAGTAATGTGAATTCCTTAATAAAATTTGTTGTCATGTTACACATATTCAGAATTAAGTAAATGGAATATTAAACGTTGTTCATTTAGATATGTATTAAAAAACAGTGCGACTGAGTAATGAAGAGTGGTTTATTCAAATTAAAAATGTACATTTCTCCTGCTGATGATTCTGTTTTAGATATCCGAAATAACAATGACGTACTTCACAGAACGTGTTGGCATTACACACGAATGGGAAAAGTGAAATCAATTGTCCTATGACAAACATGTAAATTATCTCCAATGTAAAAAAAGTTTCCCGAAATTTTTATTTTGTCCAGGAAAAGATTAATATTGGCAAAATGATATCTTCCCATTTATATGATGAATTAGCTTGCCATAGCCTCCAACAGAGTTAAGAGGGAGGGTTCACATCGCACCGGTCCCTTTGTTAAGCGCCAGTGTCTTGTCTGCTGGTATTGTTCGCCGTATTTGTTAAGGTTTTGTTTTTAACCCCATTCACAAAGCCGGTCGTGCTAAAGATTTGCTGTACTCGCTGCTGCCTCAGTAAAATAAACATCCCAGAAAATTAAATAAACACTAATTAATTAGATAAAATACCGTAGCAAATAATATAAGATTTGGCATCGATATCAGGGAATTATCAATTAAAATTATGTAAAGAATGTTGGGTATTAATTCCTGTTTGTTGGGTGGTGATAGAAAGACGACTCGTTGTGGCGGATACACAAAGCAACCGGGTCTCCACGGTAACGGGGTGCGTGCAGCCATGGCAGCGGCGCGCTGCACCGCACGGCCATCCAGTGCGTGGCTTCAGGACGCTCCGCTACATCTCAGGAATGTGAAGGGACGGCGTGGAAAAGAGAGGGGGTGTTACTCGGAGAATAAATAAATAATTAAATACAGAGACCCCCCCCAGCGGGCATTTGGGAATGTGCCAGTGTCCACCCAGAGACACACACACACACACACACACACACACACATAGAGGGAGAGGGAGAGAGAGAGTGCTGACAGTGTGTGGATGATGTAATGCGGATGCAAAACATTCCCGTTAATTGGGTTACCTTTAGAGAAATATGGGCACTTTTGGGACATTGACTACAGACTGCTTGTTTGCTTTACGCCATGGATAAACATAGTCAAAACGAGAGTAATGACTCATATAAATAGCGTGGAAACAGAAGATTATTTATTATACCCTGGTGGGCGATAAATAAGTAAACAGTCCAGGCTAACTCGTGGTGGAAAGAATTGCATACCAGATTACATTTATGTAATTACAGGGTAAAATGTAAGGCCAGATTTATTATCCACGAGCCTTATGTTTATGCAGGACATAAACATAGAGAGAGGAGTGGGCAAGAGGGGCAGGCAGAGACCAGCTTCCATAATTTATACAGATAAGATTAGAGATTTTTTTTTGATTCAGGATTATTTTTCCTTTATCTTTGTAATGCATGCATTTGTAGTGTCGCAACCTCCCAGACACATCCACCTAGCCATTTGATTTTATTATTTATTTATTTTCCTCTATTTTATCAGAAAAAAACCTCAAACATTTTTTTGGGAGGGAGGTCTGGCAAAGAGCCACGCAGACATAAAACAACTGAAATCAGGATAAAATGTGTAGATTCCTCTGAAAAGACATTTAAAGCTTTTGCAAGGTAGACCAAACAATTATTATTTTTTATTTATTTTTATTTTTTTCCAGTTATGTTCCTCGAGAGTAATCCATCAGATAAGATATTTCAGGACATTTTTTATGTTTGTATAGTCTTTCTGTGAGGTCAGTGAAAAAGAAACACAACTGCTGTCCAGCAGGATGATTTAGGGGTTTGATGCCGGCCAGAGCCCTTCTTCATGCTGTTAGCATGTTTGTATGTGTCGGTACTCGGACACATACAAACCAAGTCCAAAAAACATGCACATAAAATCCACCTTTTATGGTTGTAAAATTGTAAAAAAGAAAAAAAAAAGTTAATGAGGATTAAAAAAATACTCCTGCTCATTTCTTATGCTTATTTATTTATTTATTTATTTATTTTGGTGGTGGGGGTTATGCTGACATTTATTAAACTAGTGTCTGTGACGGTAAAAAAAAAATTACATTATGACATTATGAAAAAAAGTATTTTCTAATTTGTAGTGCTTAATAATATTAAAGTAATACCAATTTCAACATACTGGGACACCAGAAAGGATTGAGCCGCTAATGTTGTTAAGTGAAAAAAAAAATGAAATTCTCGAGTGTATTTGCAGGAACGGCTCCCACATTTTCCTGCGCACTGTCTCTTTAAGAGCCATTCCCGTGTACGCTGAAGATCTTCAAGGCTGACGGCTGACAAAGGACTGAAGTGAAACGGGATGCAGAGAAACAAAACCAGTCGCGACAGCACTCAAGTTTATTAAACCTTTAGACAGTCTCAGTGAGACAAGCGTGTCTGCAGATGACGACAGAAGTCACATTTGAAGTAGAAAGTGTACTTTTATTATTTCAAACTTTACTTTACACCCGTCGAGGTCTGCACCTCATACCTGTCTCCTTTATTCTCACTTTCTGACACATTTATTATTGGAAAAAAAAAAAAAAAGTCTCTAAAGTCTCCTTCGCCCCCCCACCCCTGTTCTGATGAGAGTCAATGAACGAGCTGCTCGGACTCGATGTCTTCCTGATACAACAAGGAGGAATACTGCAAACTGGCTAAAACAAGGCAACATGATATATACAAAAAGAGAGAAGAAGAGAAACAGGTACAAAGCAAAACAAATTTGCTGTAATCCCTCCCACTCTCTCCATGATGTGACCCTCTTTTTTTTCTTTTTCTTTTTTTCCTTCTGTAAATAGAACCAACAAAACAATCATCGGCTGGTTATTTACATGCACACTACTACTTCCCACCCCATCAAATTCAAATAAAAATACACACTAATGCCTCATCCCAAAGCCATCTGATCTGAACACATGCCCGACAGATATTCCTGGAAACAAAAACAGAAATTGGCACCTTTTATTATCAGGACATCGCATGGACGGATTACTGTCCAACAGCTGCAATACAGTCCAAAATAACACCAGTCACACGGAGTGCGTGTGTGTGTGTGTGTGTGTGTGTGTGTGTGTGAGAGAGATTATTGCACGACAGACTTAACACTCTGGTTGCTTGTTTGTTTAGTTATTCTGTACCAGAACAAACACTGATTTATGCGAGGCTGATCCTTTAAGGAGTTGTGGTTTCGATGCCCTCTCCTACGGGCCTGAGGTGTGCAGCAGTTGCAGCAGCATGGGAGGAAAGAAAGACGGCTTTGGGAGGAGGACTCTGCAGGACTGCTCTAGCTTTAACGTCACACTCTAAAACGACAACAGGTATGAGCTGTGCCTCGGTCTATCGCGCGGCTCCGCCCCCTCCGAAAACATCCACACACACACACACACACACGCACGCACACACACACACACACACACAGAAATCAAACAAACAGAGGCGCAAAGTGGCCGTAGAGCCCAGAGGACAACCACGAAGCACCAGCGCGGAGCTGGCAGTGGTATCACTCACACGCATATATAGACACACACACACACACACACACACACACACACACACACACACACATTTCGACTCGGGAGGAAGCGCTCAGAGCTGGCAGTTTTGGGTGAATCTTCTCTGAATTCCCTCCAGCTCCTCTCCGCACCGGGAACCGCTGGTTCGTGTCTGAGCTCTGTCACGTTCGTTTCAGGGCTGATTTCAGTTTTCCTTCCTCTGACACAAAACACACAGACACACGCAAACATGCTCACGCCGCCACTCCTCTCCGGAGTCTAAGGTCCGTTCCTCGGGTAAACTGCGACACAAACGAGTGAGTGTAATCGGGGGTGGGGTGGTGGGCGACCTGCCGCTTCTTTCTTTCTTTCCATCCACAGTGACAACTTCAGGCTTGGGCCTCAAGGGGGCGCTACCGACACTTAACCAGCCCTGGGAGGAGGAGAGGATTAAATCATAGTCAAAATTAATTCCCTTTGGTATAAGAGATACAGCGTATTTTATTATGATTTTATATGTTCAAATTAAACACATTAGTGCATAACTTATTTCAGGAGGGGAAATTATACATTGATTTTTTTCTTTCAAATAAATTATTTGATAGAATTGATTTATTCTGTCAAATAAATTCTGTCAAATTTATTTGACAGAATCCACTAAACTCTGATCTTTATTTGTATTTTGCCTCTCTATGTCAATAGGTTGGAGAGCAACCTTTTGCTGCAGTTATGAATATATGTTTAAGTTTGTCACGTTGATGGGTTAAAAAGCGCAGAGAGTTTTTCCAAAGTTTGTCATACTGGTTCAGAAACATCTCCACATCTTTATTCCCATAATGCTCTCCAATGTTCGCTATTACATCACTGATGCCTCCTCGGTACAGCTGGATTTATACCGGTATCTCTGTTGACTAATTAAATGACTTCCGAAAGAAATCGACTGAACTGAGCTTTTATATAGGGAGAACAGAACAAAAGGGACGTAACAATACAAATACATGCTTATCTTTCCTTCTGTTTCACAACAATTATGGACTCCATTACGATGGTTCGTTATACATAAATCCCAATAAAATTCATTAACGTTTTTGGTTGTATTGTGAGAAAACGTGGAGTAGTTCAACATGTGTGAATACTTTGTGACTCACGTGTAAAGAGGCTGTAGCTGCAGATGAGAGGACTTCTGGGGTGGCTGGTAGCCGTACGAGTCGAATCCACCAATAAAGTCAACTTGAAAAGGCAAAAAAAAAAAAAAAAAAGGAAAGAGAAATATAACATCAATATCCCCAAGTGTTCTAGTTTAATCAGAATCTATAACAATAAGAGAGTTTATGAATTCATTTGACTGTATCTTGGATTTACAGCAACATCTACAGTTGTGCACAGAGGCCCTTTAAATGGATGGTTGCTGATTTTGTGACCAGAAAATGCATCTTTTTTTTTTCCCCAACAGCTGAGCAGTTTTTCACCTCTCTTACCACCCTGCTCCCCGACCCTGACGGCAGGATGACGTTTGGTCCTCCGCCAGCCTGGCTTGCCAAAGATCCAGAGGTTTCAAAACATTTTTAATTGACGCTCTGACTCTGGCCTCATGGCCTTACCGGAATGTCCATTTTTAAGAGTGTCTCAGAGGAATGGACCTCTATCTCCCTGGAGAAATAATATGAAATAGCCCAATAGCCAGTTTATTCTAATAACTCAAAATCAGTTCTAATAACTCAAAATGGGAAAAAAATCAGAGAACATTCCACTCAAACTATAGGCGACTAGATTAGTAGGTCATCGCACATCTGCTTTCCTTCAAAGGTGTGTTTTCTATTCTCTCGTTTTTTCATGAGTAGTTAATAGACTTAGGTCTGCTCCACATTTAAGTGATTTACCAGAGGAACCATTCAATCTGACCAAGCAGACTGTATAATATTTTTCATTGCACTGCAACTCATAAATGAGTCATAATTACTCACGAGGATGATGCGGTCATTTACTAACATCCATATAAAATGTAATGCTGAAGACGACACATGCTGATAGGCATTATTTCCATTATCCATGTGAGAGCAAAACCTTTCAGACTTCAGAAAAAGAACATCAATCATACGTGCTACGTCATACACCAATTTTTGTGTCTCATAGAGTGAGAATTAAACTCCGATGAGAAAGACCCGCCAGACCCACAGATGGCCGGCCCGACAGACAGCCGCTGTGGCGGTGGGAGTACTCCAGCCCACGTAATGCTACCCACAGACGGGGAGCTCAGATCACCCGGAGGGAATCCTGCGCACTCAGATCTCTAAGCATGACTCACGCAAGAGAAGACAACAATGAGATGGCATCTCTCTCACACCCAAAACCTACTGAGCGCCACCACCACCACCCCTCCCGAAAAAGAACATCCTCGGCAGCAGAACGAGTCGACCCGATACCGTTGTCACGACACTAGCAGACCCCCAGGGAGCACTCACAGCTGTCCTCGTCATCCTGGAAGACTTTGCTCACGTAGCAGGCGTACACGAAGCCGAAGAGCTGTTGAGAAGTTGGAAACATTCCAGTCAGAGAGCACGTTTTGGTTTAACAGTCTTCGAAAAATAAAGACAACAACGGGTGCCAAAGCAAACTTTAATAGGAAGTCTCGTGTCAAGACACTTACAGCCAAAAGGATCTGGATGGCCGAACTCAACACCTCGATGTACTGGTAGTCGAGGAGACATCCCGACACCGTGATGACGTGATGGTCGTCGGGGGCCAACCGAGAGTCCAGCACTGGCGTCACGAGGCAGCCGGGGCCGTGCTCCATCCACCACGAACGATGGAGGGACGTGTTGAAAGTCATGAGAAAGTCCCTGTCCTGGAAAGCGTCTGATTGGTCAGAGATGTTTCTCCGCACAACAAAAAGGGACTTTCAGAGCACCAATCAGTCTTCAGACGTAACAGACTTTTAAAGACTGGAGGGAGAGGTCTGGTATCTTTAAACATGCTCTAATTCTTCTTTACTTAGGTGCAATCTCTATGCAAGAAGGAAATCTTAAAGCTACACAGCAAACCATTGTTTACAAAAGACAGACTACATTCTTTATTAAATTAGAAACTGTTAAAGCAGAGGAACTCTGAAATTTTAAGTCAAACTGTGCCCATTCAAAACCTGAAATTGTCAAATTTCAAAAGTAGATACACAACATCACCATTAGGTTTGTTTAACCCGAATGAAAATTATCAATTTTATACTGTTTAGGCAAGTATCATGTTGCCGCTAAGACACATATATGTGTATCACATAATTCACTATCTACTGCCCAGGATTAAATCTCGGTGACTATGTTTTTCTAACTCATTCAGATTTTCAGAAACAACTACAATTATTTCTGACTATATTTTTGTCTCATGTTGTTAGTTTACAGAAATTTCTATCCTGGTTTTAGTCATTGGGTTTGAAATGAAGGATGACAGTTTATTATTACCAAAATTAACACCGTGTGAAAAGAGTGAATCTATGTTCATGGCAGATTAATTCAATTTCTCCTGGTAGAATTGTGACTATTTCCAGAGGAGATAAAAGATAAATTTTTTTTTTGAATTTTGAGATAACTGATTAATGTATTTATGGAAATCACAACGGTGATGCTGGAGGCTGGCCCAACTCATCTATTATGGACTGAAGCATTACTGATATTGATTATTTTCTGGTGTCACGACAGCGATACTGAAAGGTGAAACAGTTGTAACACAAGCTCTGCTCATTTTTTCTACCCTAATCATCTCACTTTCTCAAAGGAATTTTGGTTTCTTAACATAGCACATAATCTGAACTCTATGACTTTTTTTAACCTGAAAAACTGATTTGAAACAAGTGACGCAAAACTATTTTTTTTTTTCTTAAAATAGATTATATAAAAAGTAGTGAAATAGGCTTTTATTAGAGTAACACATGGACTCTCACAGAATTGAATGCGTTTACCTGCGACAGGTTTCCCACTTCCAGGTAGAAACAAATAATGAAGGAGTTCCATCCAACCCACAGGACCAGCCATACTGCATACTGCCAGAAAGACCCAATCAAAAGTGCTTTTATGAAATTAAATCAGTTCAGTGTAGGATGCTGATAGGGGCGGTGGGGGGGGGGGGTTTCTGGACACTCTAAAAATAGAGGTACTTGAAGCGCAACTGCACAGTGCCAAACATCCCCAGGATGACGGCCATAATGTGCAGGAAGTTGGCCAGGATGGGAGCCCACTGGTAGCCCAGAAAGTCAAACACCTGCCTCTGGAGAGCCGCCACCTACGGAGGTTCAGATGCACACACACAAAGGCCTGTCAGTGGAGGGATAATCAAAAGCACGCAGGGACATAAAGCGTCCTCACTTAATCAAGGTATCACACACGCACAGAGTGACAGGGACACACATATGCGCGAGGCTGCCGCAGCTGTTACCATGGAAACTGCCTGGAGCACCAGCCAGTCCAGGGACTGTAAAAAGGACCACCCCTTACAAAAAAAATAAATAAAAAAATAGCTGGGCCAAACTAATGAGAATCTATGGGCCAAATCCCTCTGCTGCACAAAAACTCATCAGCACAGCAAACAATGGCCACAATGAGCAGCTCTAACGAGGCTGCTAGGCACACTCACACCATGTCTTAAACATTATAAAAGGAATGTCTTAACACTTTACTACCTGCATTACATAAAACCTAAACAATACTTTTGCTGTCACAGGGATTTTAAATCCATCAAAAGTTTATGCAAATTTATGCAAAAATTTATGTAAAGTTTATGCAAAAGTTTATGTAAATTAGCTAAATCAGGTAGAATTTATCATAACTTTAACCACTAGATGGCAGCAAAGTGATGCAGGGTATGTGTTGATTATGCATTAACAGGCGTCGTGGTGCCTGTTAATGTTATATCTCTCTGTGACTGTAAGCTGGTTAAGTTTGGCCATTTTTCGTATAGTCGAGCTGGGCTGCTGCCCCAGACCAGTAGGAGCCGTTGAAGATATCTGGGCTCTGAAAACCTGAAATGTGTAGAATGTTTAAAAAGAATGAGGCTAATTTCTAATCAAGCTTTAAATATTAATGACATTTCGAGTAATTCAGTTTTCCATTTATACATCTATCTGATTCCATGAATGACAGTTTTCTATTACAACCAATTAAAATGGCAACATCTTGCCAAATATACTTGCCAAACAAGTAGGCCTGTCACAATAACAAATTTTGCCAGACGATAAAATGTCCCAAAACTTATTGCGATAAATGATAATATTGGTATTTTCAGACAATTTCCAACTAATATGATAGTAACAATGGAAGAATAATGCAACACCTTCTCAAAGATCAATAAACTTAAAATTTTGATGAACATTCACGCATTGGAACTGGAAAACATTTTAAATATCCAAAACAAATAAACAAAACAACAGAAACGACAACTAAAATGAATTCTGAAGTCTCCGTAGACAAAACTGTCTTTCAAAAAAGGGATAAATGAAACCAAAGCATCAGACTGAACACCAGTTTCGGGAAAAAAGGAGAGAGTAAAGAGAAAAACAACAAATCGAGCAAATGAAAATGATTGAGTTTGCTTTAGTTTATCTTGTGATTAATCAATTTGTTTATTGTGACAGGCCTACAAACAAGTAATAGAAACAACATTTTCTACAACATTCTTAGCATGCTCTTTATTAATTATCATTCTACCACTGTATCAACACCATCAGTTTTATTGTTGGTGCGGTAAGGAAATATGAAACTATAGTGTTAAAATGGACAACACGGAAAAAAAAAAATTGATCTCGGACACTTTTTATGGCACATTAATGGTGCTGTGGTGCCTGGTGACCTTAACAGGAAGTGGGGCCCCTAATTATATTCCGTTTAGGGCCCCGTACGTTCATGGGCGAGTTCTTCTAAAGATTCACATGATTTTGCCTACACCAACATGCAGAGGCTACCCTGTTCCCTCTCCTTCAGGGAACCACAGCCTCGCCTGTAATGTGGGATGGCGCCCCAGCAGCTGCAGCTCAAAGCTATGTGTGTGTGTGAGTGTGTGACTGTACAGGGAGGCTGGACAAAAATGTCTGATTACAATGTGTGTGTCTGTAGCACGCCGCTCTAATTATATCTTGGTGGTTAGAGAGGCAGTCTCAGCTGTGGACACACAAACACACACATGTATTAAAACAGAGCCGACCCAAGGCAAAAAGTGAACTAAGCAGCTGCTTAGGGCTCCCAAACGAGGGTGATTTATCAGTGCTAATCATGCAAAACAAAACTTCTGGTCCTTAATGTAAAATATTACATGTGAATCAATGTAGTCACGTTGTAACAAGTTTTAAAATACATGTGGAACAGATTAATGTAGTAAAAGTAAGCCAGCTGGTTTCACTCTGCGTTTTCTACCTCAAAAACAAGAAAACTAATTAGATCTATGACAACAGGAAAACATATTAATACAAACACCTGTCGTGCTAGATGTATCAGTTTTGATGGATGAATTTCTGAGACCTCTGCATCTTTAAAAAAAAAAGAAGTAATTTCCCTCAAAAACCTGCTATATCAAATGATATGCCCTCTAGTGGAGGATCTAAGTACAACTGAAGAAAAGTGCCAGTGTTACCCAAAATTCAAAGATGGCAGTGTGAACTTTCAAGAAACAGTTTCCTCGTGAAATGCAAACTCTTAATGTTGGAATGATTACTACCGAACATGAAATTTTTTTCAAATTTTATGTCCTTTAAAAAAAACTGTCTAACAGAGTCACACAGTAAGTAACGTAAATATGAAATGCTTTATGGCGATACTTCAAGTACAAAATTATATTATGGGTCAGTATGTATGTTTTATACCTGATTTAACTTCAAATTAGATAGAAAAAGCAAAAACGTCAACTCTATATTGTTGAACGCTAAATGTAATATTAATGTAACTATATCAATATTTAGATATTTTGTCAAACCATCTAAAAAACATAGTTTTTAAAGTATAAGATTTTCCTACAACTGTTTATTTTTATCAGAGTTTAAAGAGTTAATACATCTGGTGTAAATTAAATGTAATTTGGAGAAATGCAGGGATTTAAACTTGAGTGATAGTCAAGGAACATTAGAAGAGATTTATGTTGGTTACAATATGTGCCTAGGGCCCCATTCAGTCTTGGACCGGCTCTGTATCAAAGCATGCTCACTTACCAGCTGCAGTGAACAGATCACCAACAGCGTGCATCTGCCGTCACACTTCCCCATTTTGGAGGGCTCGGGTCGCGGCTTGGAGCCGCGGAGGCTCCGGGGAAACGACGAGTCCCCGGTCAGATCCAGACTGCCTTCCCGTCTCAGCTCACACCATTCCCGGGATGAACAGACCTGCACAAGGCCGCCGCCACCGCAGCCGCTTCCTCCGGCGCTTCCACTCACAGTGGCTGATCCATCTCTAGCCTCCGCTTTTGTCTACACAGTTCCAGTCGCTGGAATGTTTTCAGGGGGAGGAAAAGGGAGAGGTGATGAGAAGGAAGGAGGTGCTGGGGGAGTCCGCTTCACACCGGCCTGCTGCTGCTGCGAGGTCCGTCCGACTCCGAATCACCTCGGCCACACCTTCCGGAGAAGGGGGAGACACACAAAGGCACAAAGAGAGACGGAAAGCTGTCACAATCTGCCCCAGGCTGCAGACTGAAATGAACATCATATGATACCGGATCACACGGAGGGGGGGGGGGGGGGCGGCGGGGGGGGGGGGACCGACCCCGCATTAACACTACGGCTAACGGTCGGCTCCTCCGCCGCGGACACAAAGCAGCCCGCCCGGACTCCTCCTTCCACGGCGGGTTTCCATCCCATTCTCCCCGCTGGGATCCCGCTCTGCTAGGCTAGGAGAAGCTTAAAAATAAAAAAAATAAAGAATCAAGTTAACGGGGAGATCTACTCACCAGCACCGGCTCTGGCCTCCAACGTCTCCGTCTCGCAGCGTCTTTTGTCAACAATCGGTGCCTGGGTGAGCGCAGGAGGAGCCGGGGGGGGGGGGGGGGGGGGGGGGGGGGG